GTATTATTTATTTCATTTTAGTTCATTCATTTTTTGCAGATCTATTTTCAGTTTTTAGCGTAGTTAAACATAAAACCCTTTAACAGATATCAACCACAAATCAATAAATAGATTCTAAACTGTTCAGATTGTCTGGCTCCACATTTTGGGACTGCTGTTCATACAAACCAGAGTGCAGCGAGCACTCCTCGGTTGTAAGATGACCTGCCTGAGCAACTCCAGCACGCTTTCTTTCCTGTTAGAGAATCATTAAAATCATTGGATCTTCTTGTGAATTTTAATATATAGCTTAACATATCTGATATCGTTCTCATTTTTGACCTGCTAATTTGCTCTCGAGTGGTTGTCATTATTGAAATTAACTTGTACTGCCAGTGAGTTAGTGCAATGTTAGCAAATCAGTCACAGAACATTCTCCTCTTGTTTGTCACGTCTGTTTGTCACAGATACAACAAAACAGAGATATTTTTGTTACATTTTTTCTGGCAGCCCTGATCTTCCACAGCTCTTTAACATTTTTGTGTTTATGCTTCATCACTTTTAATAATCTTAGTTTAGCTTTTATTTCGCAGTCATTTCTGCACGTCCAACCAACACTTTAATTTGAGAAACGTGCAAATTTTAATACAGGACATTAAAAATGTATGTCTCCCTGCTTCCTGCTCACATTTGTGTCGTGTTGTCCGCACTCAACGCGTCTCCCCAAACTCACAGACAGTAAGCTTGCTACTGGAATACAAAAGAAATGATTCTGTAAATGCAAAAACCAAAAATCCAAAGCATATTCAATCTGCAGTGGTATGGCCCTTTCCTCTTGATAAGAAAGGTGTTTTACGCTGAATATGGCTCACTGTCATTATCATTAAAACACAGAGGTAATCAAATCCTGTACAAAATTACGTTCCTTCACCACACACGCTAACACACACACCTCATCATTACAAAAGAAGAAAATAATACAGAATACTTTCATTAACAACACTTCGTCATCATCATCTTAGAATCATCTGCAGAATTCTCTGAATCCTACGGATGATTTCCAGATTGTTGAAGAAATGAATGGCAGTTTGTTAATAGATACATGTTGGTATACATCGCAGTTGTAGTAGTATAAATGTCATTATCACAGTTTAACAACATGAAGTGGCTCAGAGAGAATCAGCTTGGCCCGAAACATTTTCCTTCGTCACTGATGAAGCAGCTTCTTAGCCAAGACGTCAAATCTAAAACCCAGATGAGTTTGAAATGTCTTCTCATTTTAGTGCCCAGGTCAAAATGTCTCGTTATGTGTAAGCAGTAACAGCAACGTCACGTCAGAGTTATTTCTGTTGAAGGAGAAGTCTGCAAAAATGTGATCAGCCCAAACATACTGAACTTAAT